TAAACATCGGTGTTCAGGTATCTTAGAAACACAGAAAGCTAGTTTATTCTACTTTAATTTCCTTTTTAATGTCCCTTGAGTTTTCCGTAGCTCCTCACTTGCTGACTTATCTGTAGCCTGTCTGCCTGCTTTTTCTGTTGCTCAGAATGCAGTCATGCAGGTTGAGTGCACCTTTTTTAGACAAAAATGCATCCTGTATGCCACTTTCAGTGGCTTCTTCCTTGCCCAGTTTTTATCCTCCCAGTATCTTGCCTCTTTGTTTTACTATTGCATTGTCTCCAATCTCTTCCAACTTGAGTGAGAAAAATGTCTTCTTTTTGAGACAGTCTCTAGCTCAATCAGAGAGCTATTAAAGGAACAGTTCTTTAAAAGCATGCCCACCCTCCTGTTTCAGATGGAGAATACTATCAAGCAGTCGGAGAACGATCTCAACAAGCTCTTGGAATCTACCCGTCGCCTGCATGAGGAGTATAAACCCCTGAAGGAGCATGTAGATGCTTTGCGGATGACTCTGGGATTGCAGAGACTGCCAGATCTATGCGAGGAGGAAGAGAAACTGTCCCTTGAGTAAGTTTCCGAAGCAAACGTTACCCGGCTTTATACCTTCTCTCGGTTCTGCTGGTTATTTTGCCATTTTACTTTTGTTGGTGGGTTGAAAAAAGCACTTAAGAGGTAAGCATGAAAAACAAAAGTTAACAAAAAAGGGATGTGGGAGCACATGTATTTGATAACATTCAGTCTGAATTTATTGAAGTTAAATTTAGATTATCCAAGTGGCAAACTCTACATATGACATACAAAAATGCAAGGGTGGTTGGTTCTCTAGATTTTGATACCATATGCTGCTTTTTCTAGCAAGACTTTTTTCCTGAAACTATTTTTTTTTTTTCCGCTTGTTTAACAAGCAGAGGTTGGAGGCAGTAAAAGAAAGGGAAATAAAACAAGTATTCTTCAGTTGGTTTGTGCTGCTGCTAGTCACAATTTTACTTTTTGCTGCATGCACATGGCAGTGGCATTTAGCTATACACCTATGACTGTCAACAAGTAAGTTTACCCTAGATGTGGAATAGATTTAATAATAAATTACGGTTTCATTTTTAGGTATAACCTAGGTTGTGGAGGGTGATAGAATTAGCTTCTATTCAAAAAACCAGTGTCCTTTGTTTAACAGATCCATTTGAAATGCAGGTGGTGTTTAAAGAAACTTACATTCCTCTTAACGTCCAGCATATTTGGCATCATTTTCACAGACACACAGTTTTCAAGATTTCTTTTGCAATCAGAAATGCTGTTTTCCATTCCAAGCACCTTGACACTGCAGAGAATGTATTAATCTATTGCATACAAAAGTTACTCATTTTAACAGAATAAAACATAAAAACTAAGTTTGACAGAGATGCATCTAAAGCTGTTAAAGATTAAATATATATGTTGTCTATTTGGCATCCTGTTGGATGTATATGCAGTTGTACATCAAAATATCTTAGAAGCTGATAATCTGGAATCTGGCCAAAGTGTACAAATGCAGAGGAAAATACCACTGATTTTATTTATGAACTAGTCCAAGTGGTGTCTAAGAGTAGGCAATTCGACTCTAGTGGAGGAACACGATAAGGAAATGTGATCCGTTATATTTTAACACAAAAAATCCTTTACAAACTAATGGAATACTCCAAAAAGTGGTTATAGTTTTTATTTGTTTTTCTTTTGTCTAGCTACTTTGAAAAGCAGAAAGCAGAATGGCAGACACCCCCTCCAAGGGTCTCTGGCTGCAGCTGCAGCGGCTGCCCAACAGCTGCAGGTGGCTAGGAAACAAGATACCAGACAGACAGCAACTTTCAGACAACAGCCACCTCCAATGAAGGTCAGGAGATTTAATGCGCTGAGTTTTCTCTTTTGGCATTGGAATGTATTATGTTTATAAAGTTGATCAGTGCTTATGAAAAGGAAAAATTACGTGTCCTGATTCTGATTTTTCCTGCAGTGGTTCAAATCAAGAACAACCCCAGTAGATGTAACGTAGTAGTACCAGCCATCAGTGGTTAAGGACAAGGCTCTGTATTATTTGACTCCTTTCTGACTTAAGAGTATCCATCAACAAATGTAGGCAATTCCCACTCCACTTGTGTTTCATGTGGGAGAAAGGCATCTAAGAAGAAAGAAAGGCTGGGCAAAAGAAAAACTAATAGCTGGGAGTTAATCCCAAATGGATTCTTATCAGAAGCAATGCACATATTTTATGAGGGAAAGTAATTACTGACGATGCAAATTACCAGGAAAGGTGATTGTTTCTGCACTTCGTGGGATCTTCAAGTCAAAACTAACATGGATTAATTTAACCCAACCACAGGCACTTAAGTGACAGTTTTACTCAGTTCCATCTATAGTCAGTAAAAAGAGCTAAGTAATTCCGTTGGGGTATTCATCTCACCCAAGTTCCGAGGGTTCACTAAGGAGGCAAACTGACGTAGGTACACTGTGTAGTTGAGTACTTACCTATCTGGAGTTAGGCCATTGAAAAGCTTTTCTGAAAATAATATGCTTCAGTCAAATGGAAGTTAAAGGGCTTGGTACAAAGCAAAACGGCAGAGTTCTCTATCTTGTGTCCAGTATGTGGAATTCATCTAATCACCCACTCCTGCCTTGGATTCTATGACATCACAGTTGGCCTTCACTGTAACTTCTCTGACTCAGTGAGCTATTACGCATGTAAACATCTTCAAAACATGTGGAACATTTAACACAAAATAGAATTTAATGTTAAAATTATCGACATATGCCTGAACCATGTCTCTGCTGAACTGTAGTTTCAATGCGATACTCTAGGTTTTCCGTTAGCCTAAAGTTACTGTACAGTCCAGAGACCTGGACTGTATAGAATGTAGCATTGGTTTGCCTTTGAAGGCAAGAAGCCTTAGTTGTATTTTTCTTTACTGTAACTTAGAATATGATACTCAATAGCCCGTGTCACTATGCCACTCAAATGTTTGTAACAAGAGGCTGCAATGTCACATTTCAGGCATGTTTATCGTGTCACCAACAAATTCATCGGAATGCGCCCATTTGTCCACTCTGCAAAGCAAAGAGCCGATCTCGGAATCCCAAAAAGCCCAAGAGGAAACAGGATGAATGAAACCCAGAAGACTGACAAGCAAACGCTTGACCTGTTCCAGTACTCTTCCAGTAGAACTGCAAATTTGGCCAGACTTTACTGAAGTGCAGACTCAAGTATGACCAACCCACTGATTTCTGTTTAATGCAGTGTAAGCACAATGTTCCTGTTCTGTCTTAATTTCCTTCCAGACCATAGGATTTGGTTTTAGGAAAGCAAGTATTACTGGTGCTACAGTTTAACATTTCAATCATTCCATCTTCTGGACTTCTAAACAAAGTAGAATTCTTATGCAAGTATCCTAAATGCCAGGCTTTTCCTATTGGCCAAATGTGATTACCACAAAGGCTTTTACGTTCTCTTTTTAAAAACAGATGTTACTAAAAGATTATTGTGTTTTCTCCTGATAACAGGATACTATTTGAAGTGCTGAAATAGCAGGTGTGTCTGTTTTTTTCACTAAAGAACAATTTGTTTTCCAAGCTAGTAAGACTGCGCATGTTTGGGTATCCAGCAGAGTTCTTTTTATACAGGAAATGTTCAGGGGAAAAAAGAAATTGGTTGTACAGGAAATCAGTGCATTAAGGACACATGTGAGTTTTGATTTACTGGACTTTGTACCATTCCCTCAAGCTTGACTTAAAATTTGGAAGGGGGAATCAAGTTGCTGGCTGTGTATGAATTTCTAAAAATCATGTAATTTGTGATGATTTAATATTTTAATATGGTATTATTTTCAGCGGTCAGAAGATTGATTGACAAGTACAAGGCTCAAGTTAATTGTATTAGTGGTCCTCCTAGGCTCTACGGCCAACCAGCTCGCTATGGTTCTCTAGGAAACATGCATGAATTATCCCAAATCTCTATGTGCACAGACTGCAACATCAGCCATTCTGCATGTATTCTATTCCCGGTTTCTACTGCCAAAATCTCCCTTGGCAGACGTATCCTTCACTGGAGCACAGGGGAGTTCAGTAACGTGCACCAGGAACAGTGTCCAACTAAAAATGATGTATTTCACCAGAACTGCCTGGCTTTGGTGTCATCGTTCTCCCTCAACCAAAACTTCCTATTTTTGTACCCTTTAATAGGTCATTTTCAAGTAAACTTTATTTCAGCCCAGGTTTTTTTCTTGCTCTGTATGTGTGCCAAAAGAACCCTGACTAAAGAATCCTTTAGGCCACTCCCTGTATCCATGTCTTCCATTTGTTCCACCTCATGTAATAACAGTTCCTTCAATGGGGAGGATGGCAGAGGCCCAACTACAGAACAGGGACTTAAAATTTACTCATTTCCAATCACAGTTTTGTCATTTCTAATCCCAGTTTTTTTCACCGCCTTTGTTGTCTAAATTGATCTGAAGTATTAGATATTCTTTTCACTAACTTCAGGAGACAGGGACTGCCTGTTTACCTTCTTCTCTCTTTAGCTCAGGTTTTCCTCTACTATTATGCTAGAATGGTTATATTGTGAACAGGGAAGCCCCACATCTCTGGTCAGAACTTTGCCAAATGCTGGGGACCATACAAATCCACATAAACCAATTTTGGTGGCCAAATCACGTACATTGCCATTAATTCCCCAACTCTGCCGTAAAGTACATGAGTATTTTATTGAATATAATCCTATCATTTACACCAAGATCAGTTGGTATTCTCCCATTTTAATGTTTCATAGCCAAATAAACATCTGTCACCAACAGACACAGAATGTGGACCACGTGCCCCTGAAAATACGTGAAAAGCGGATTCTGCTAGCTGAATTACTGGGATTCAGTCTCTGTGAAATAGCAATAATGGAGGATACTCTGACCCCATGCTCCAAATGGTAGTAGTGCGCTAACTATTGTTATGCTTGTTTACCAAGACAAATACTGGATTCTACTTTTAAATGTCAGAGCGGACACATGCTCTTCCCTGTTCAGAGCAATTCCTATTGAGTTTAAGTGAAAATGCATACAGAGTTAAAGGACAGTATATGGACTCCCCAAAGTGCATGCAGGAGAGCAGCATACTTTGATAACAGCTGTACATACATTTAAGAAGTTGTGACAGTGGAGAATGGGCAAATGGTCTGCAGTGAACTTGTACTAACAGGATAGATTTATAGAAACTTTGACTTACAGTTCTGAAATAAACAGGGTTAGTTGTAGCTGCTCTCACTTCAGTGTTACTTTGCCAGGTTCTTTCTGTCTTGGGAGATATCTAGAGCTCTAAACTGAAGTATGCGTAGGGATGCACTGTTTACTAATTTAGTATGGCAGTTTTGTATTTTTGCTTTTTTAAACTAGTCTCTTGTGCTCTCGTGTTTAACAAGGTTGTTTTTTTTTTAAAGAGAAAAAAATGTGAATATGTCATATTTGTACCAATCATGTACTAGCATTTACAAATCTGTTTTCACATCCTTTATGAAGTCCTGCGATAATAATAGCCAAAAGGCCCCGGGGAGGTACTTAACTCTCCTGTACTTACACTCACATTTCTCCATATAAACAATAAACTAGTAAGAAAAATTCAGAGAATACTAAAAATAAAGAGACACCTTTTGCTCACAGATTATCCTTTTATGTATTTCTCTTCTGCCTTCTTGTAATTTATGTCATCCAGAGCAGAAATCGCATAAATGATGGCTTATAAATGTATTTAGTTCATTTATACTTGTGAAACAAAACATAAATTGCAACCAGTGATTTGAAACTGTGTCAGCAGATAAGCACGTTTTTAGAACAAGGTTCCTCAATCACTTAGGAAACTTGGTTGAAATTGCGTGTTGTGTATCTGAAGTTCTTAAGTAACACAAACTTGTCCTTTAGCTTTCCCAGGAGACTGTTTTTATAACCAGATTAAGATACTCTTCATAGTAATCTCGTTTCTACAGAAGTTACTAATGTTGTCCCCAGAAAGTTCCTAGGAAGAACAATAAGGATCTAAAGGTATAACTGTAAAAACAGACAATGGACCCCCCGACACACACAAAGAATGCAAGTAAACCCAGAGATGACTTGCCAAATTAAAAAAAAATTCCAAAGCTCAAAGCTTTGAAGAGTTTCAGAAGTAATCAAAATACACCCAGAAAGCAATCATTCTGCCTTTAAAAACATGCTACCTAAAGCTTCTCCATTCTGTGCTAATGGCTTAAAAATCAGCATCTAGAATTACATTGGTTCGCATCTCACCCGTAACCCTGCCAGCCTACTAATGCCAACATCTGCAGCGCGTGCAGGAAGCATGTATTGATTAATCTTGCTGCTTTATTTATTTATTTGTTCCAACATGCAACATAAACATATTTGTTCTCTGATTACAAACCCATGAACACGGCTTAGTAGCCGCCTGCACCCGTTTTAATACTCTTTGTTCAAGACATGCATAGAAACTAATCACAGCTTCATTCCCTTTGAGCTGAAGGGACCGTGACCCAAGCTGGCTGGTAGGCAGGCTTGAATGTATCTGCCCAGTTCAAACATAACCCAGCTCCCAGGGAACACCCTGGAAGTCAGTGAACTCAAATCATGTAACACTACCGTTGTTTACTTGCTTTAACATTTACTTTTCTCAGTGTTTCGTGTTTACTTACTTCAGGCAAAAGGACATCCAAAATAAATTTTATTCCATCTCCATTTATTTGATGCAGATTTTTAGTGTCTATTTCACTGTGTATTTCTTTCAAGTAGTTTACTACGAGGTCTAACTGTTCTTCATCCTCTAAAAAGGATGAACATGACACAGGTCATGTACTTACTAGAATTCAGGAATTCTTTCAGCCACCAGGATTGTTTTCTGCTTTTTAGAACAGCCGAAAGATGCTCTTTGGCCCCCTTGGTCTTCGCTATAAACTCCACTATCTCTTTATTCACTTTATCTCTAGAAGCTCTTGTTCTGTCAGGATGAAGTTTCTTGAAGGTGTCCTGAGGTGAAGTCTTTTCAGGATCTTCCTCTGCTGTGTTTGGAAAGGTCATTTGGACTAAAACTTGATAACATTTTTTTCTAACTGGGTACCCCAAAAAGAAACGTTTCTTTTGCTTTTTAAGATTTTCTGTCTGCTTTTATCCCATTCGCTGTCTTTATTTTTTGTTTCTTCTCTCTCCTTAGCACCCTCGCTTTTTACATTTTCTTTCTACATCTTCGTTTTAGTTCACTGTCCCTGCATTCTGCTTTGCACTCCCGGATGTGTTTCCAGCTGCTGGGCTCAGAGCAAGTGGCTGCAGCGCGGTCCAGGAGAGGGAGCGATGTACTGTGGGCTGGGGTGACAGCCCCTGTTCCAGATGGGCTCCAAGTGTGGGCTGGGGCAGCCCAGGTGGGACCCATGAGGTGAGGATGGGGCTGGGCCAAGGTGTTCAAAAGGCTACAGGTGGAGACAAGCTGGGGCAGCCTTGGGTGTAGTCAGTGAGGTTGAGGATGTTGATGCTGTGCTGAGGGGCTCTGGTGGGGGGGGGAACTGCCTGGGCATGCCTGCCTGCAGGAGCTGGCTGAGGAGTGAAATGAAGGGCATTATGTAGGCAATGGGGGATTCCTTATGTAGGGAAGGGGGGATTCCAGCAACGACCGGCTGGTCCCTGTGGCGAGGAAGAATCGCTCCCAGCCACCCCTGACAGAGCGCACTACCAGCACACAGCTCTGGGAGCTGGGTCTCTGTTGGCTGCATGTGTGAGCCACCGTGTGTCTGGGAAGCCTTTTGGGAGAGGAGCATCCGGGCACCTGCTGCCTGCTCCTGGATGGGTGAGGGTTGGGCAGCTGGCACAGCAGAGGAGGAAGGTGGCTGAGGCAGAGAGAGAAGCCTCGGGGCAGTGAAGTTCTCCTGCCAGTGCCAGGAGCTGTGGTGAATTGTGAGTCTGCGCCCATCCCTGCCACGCTTCTCCATATCTCTGCCTGCCTCTGTCTCCTTTTCAGGCTCTCTGGCTCCCTGAAACTTTTGGCTCTTTGGCCAGCACTGCCCTGTATCCTGTCGCCTTCTATGCTTTGTTTCTGTGTCTCTCCCTTTCTGGCTCTCCACCTGCTATTATTTCATTCTTCCCACACTGCCTCCTTCCCCCTTTCTTGGGAAAATTGCAGTTCTAGGTCTCCCTCTGCCCAGCAACCTGCGGCTGTATTTGGTGACCCCTCCAGTGTCCTTTCCCTAGGGCTGTCTATCTGGCTCCCTCTCCTGACGTTTAACTTCTAATCCGTGTGGCCAGTACCCCGTTCCTTTCTAAATTTTTTCTCTATGTCTACATTTAACCCATTTCCTCTCTATGTTTTTTATTTCTTCCTGCCTGTCCTCTCCTTCATCACTTTTAAAATTTTGTTTCAATGTCTTCATCTATCGAGCTTGCTGAGCTTATTTTCAGGTTTTTTCCTCTATTCTTCATCCCTTCGCTTTTATAACTTTCTTACTATGTCAGCTTTTATCCAGTTCACTTATATTTCATTTTTTTTCCTGTCTGTCCCTTACCACATCACTTTCAAAATTCTCTTTCTATGTCTACT